GGACTTTTGCGAGCAAGCGTTCCCCGCTTGCCTGGGGGTCGTGCGCCGTGCAAATAATTTGCCCAGCACGCGGAAATTTCTCGCGTCGGCTCGCTGCAGAGGGACGGGTGTAGGTACCTTTCGACATGCAGGCGGGTTGCTGGAGCGCGAAGACAGCGCCGTCCACGGCGGAGGCCCGTTGCAATGCGCCGCGCTGTTGGCGGGCAGCCCGCGCGCGGGTTCCGCGCGGGCCCACTTCGATAAGGTCACCTTCGCAGGCCAGCGAGAGCAGGAGAGGCGAGCTGCCGCGGCGCAGGATGCGAGGCGCAGAGCCGTCGAGGAAACAGACAGGATAGAAGCGGATATGAGGCTCCGAGCGCAGCGCGAAGCCAAAAAGGCCGCGCGGGCTTCGGCGGCCCAGGGGGTGTATCGAGCCTCGACGCTATTCCCGCCTCCGCCAGATGAACATCCCCAGGGGCGGCCTCGTCGCAGGGGCGTCGGGGCCAAGCTGCCAGCGGAACCTCGACGAGGAGTGCCCATTCAGAAAACCATCCAGAAACCCATGCAGAAGCCCTGCCCATTTCGCGCTGTCCGCAAAAATCTGCCTGGCCATTCTGGACGGCGGCCAGCCGCCTGCTCGGTATCAGACAGCGAGCATGACGGGCGGCAAGCGGGGATAGTTGCCCGCCGATCGCCGCGGCCACAAGCGGCTGAAACGACGAGGGCGCTGAGAGTTCAGACGCGAGAGATAGAGTGCCAGTGACGCAGGAATTCGACAACATGTTTTTGTTGTGGTTCGGCGCCACCGCAAGCGCGGCCCGCGCGAATGGCGGAAAGTGGCCCGTCAGAGACGTGGGCGATCTGCCACGAAGGAAAGCAGGGATAGCCGCTGGCCGTTCGCCGCGGCCACCAACGGCTGAATCGACGAACGCGGCAGAGAATCCGGAGCCGAGAGATGGAGCGCCAGTGGTGCAGGAGCTCGACATCATTGCGTTTTTCGGCGCCGCCGCGAGCGCGGGCCGCGCGAATGGGAGAGAGCGGCAGACCAGAGACATGAGCGATCTGCCACAAAGTAACCCGCGGGCATCGGGCAGCACTGCCTCGCCGACTGCGAAGGCGCGCGCCCCGTTGAATTGCGGGCTTGATTGCCGTCGCGAGCAATCCAGCAGCGACGAAGAAGAAGAGGAAGTAGAAAGTAGACGATGCCTTCTATGCCGCGTCGGGCAAGGATGGGGTTGCCCGGCCCAGCGGTGGGGAGATGGACCTTGCGCGCAGGACGTGCGCAAAGCTTCGAAAGCACGCGCGGTTGCGCCTGGCGCTGCCGCTGAAAGCAGATGGTGAACCTCTGAGCGCGAATGATTTGCAATCGGGCGCGCAGTCGCCGCTCAACTCAAGCCCGCCCGTCGGCGAAGACGGGGCGTCGTGCCAAATCCAGACCAGGGATCGCATTCAGTTCCTCCGCCGCATCGCACGCGGCGCGCGAGACGGAGCTTCTTGGGAGAGTCTGCGGGCCCTCGCAGGAGCCTCTCGGGGGCGTCGCAGACGCCCTCTTAGGGGATCTTAGGAGCTTCGCAGGAGCCCGGCGTGGACCCCCCTCGAGGCATCGCATGGGGCCTCCTCGGGGTCTCGCAGGGACTGTCAAAGGATTCCGACGGGGAAGTAACAGGATATCTTTTCTGGACGTCATCTTGATCGGTCTTCCACGGGCAGCGGAGGAGGAGGAGGCGAAGGATGCGAGGGTGGGAGGAGGGAAAAGCTGCGCTGAGCCCACCACCCTTACAATATTGCACTATGTCAGTGGTTGGTCGATGGGAGGAGATCAAGGGGAGATGCGTTGACTCCAACCTCCTGCAGACTTCTCAATTCCGCGTTTTTTTCCCGGATCGGGATGCAATGGGAGATGTGCCGACCACTGCATCAAGCAGCATTGTTAACTGTTCCAGGCGTTTTCCATCCGGGGTTCAGTCGGACGCGCGGAGATCTCAGCACCCCGCAGAATGCGATCATAGTGTTTTGTATTTGTCAATCGAAATTCAAACGGGAATGGGCCGATCTCAGTCTCCCGCATCGTTTTTTCTACACATTCAGGCGGGGCTTTGACTTTTCCAGCCCACTACTCCGTTCCCGCGCCAGCCTCGCAGAGCATCCAATTTCGCGCCGAGGATATCCCATCGCTGCGTTTGGCGCTGCGGCAGGCAGCTGCTGATGCGTTGAGGGAGTTATTCTGCGTTTGCTGTGAAACCAGATGTCGAAGGCGGCACTGTCGCAGTCTTGCGCGCGGCACTGCAGACTTTGCGTCGGAGAGCGCGTCGACGCCTCATCGCCGCATCGCGAAGACAAGCGCCCATTGCAAATTCGAGACAGCAGGGCTTAACCGGAGTCAAATTTGAATCAGTCGGAATCAATCGGAACCAACGGAGACAATCGGAAGCACTGAGCACGTATAGGAGTTTGTTGGAGCACAATGGGATCAAGCGGGATTCGTTTGAACATGAAAGAAACCATGGGGGTCAATAGGAATCCGCAGAAATCCATAGGAATGAATTCGAATCTTTAGGAGTCCATACAAATCCACCGGGGCGAATAGGAATCAGTAGAAACCCTAAAGCAACACATCAAAATCATAGGAGTGAATTGGATTCAGTACGGATATGTAGGACTTGATTGACGTATATGAGAGTCAATGGGAATTAGTTCGAATCGGTCGGAGTCGCCACAGGTCGATGGGAATCAATCGTAATCCAACGGAACCGAACGAACACAGTGAATAGAGTACGCTTGAACCAATAGGAATCAATGGAGATCAGCCGGAATCAGTAGGAATCAATCGGAACCCATAAGAATCCCGAGGGGGCCAAATAGATGAAGTGTCAATCGGAATCTAAAGGAAACACAAGGAAGCTTCAAGAACAGTTGGGAAACCACGGGGCTCAATGCAATTCACAGGAGTCAATCGGACTCCATAGAAATCGCCAGGAAGCAAAAGGAAACGCCAGGAACCACATGGAATCAACAGGAACCGTAGGAATCGCCAGAGTGTCTTCGGAGCCTCTTGGAGACTCTTGGGGCGTTTGGGTGGACGTTCTGGTTTCTCTCAGGGCGGCAGAGGCTGTCTTGGGGGCCTTTTCTGGGCCGTTCTGAGGCTGACTTTGAGATCTACTTGGATGTCCTGGGGGTCCTCTCGGAGTCGTCCCTCGGACGCTCATCGGACTCGAAAGGGCGAAGTGGGGGCACAGCATGTAATGTTTGTCAATGTTTTGGTCTCCCGGAGGCCTCGCCATCTGGGGCTATCGTTGGCCATCTTGCCATCTCGGAGCCATGTTGGGTCATCCGAGACCGTATTGATTCAATGTGGGCCGTCTCCTTGTTGAATCGTCTTGGCCTTTCTGGTCGAGGTGATGCGGCTGCGCGAGCCCCCACCCACCCCTTCAAGCTTTGATAGCCCACCAGTTCGCAATCAATGGAAGCAGTTGCCCTTCCGAGATCCCACACGGCACAGGCCCAGCAGGTGGGGCCGCCGTCCCCACCGGCCCATCCGGAAACGATGCCCGGGCGAGTGGCTTCTTCCCTCGTTTTCCCTTCCGCTCCCTCTCCGCATGGCGCGCACACCGCGCCCCGATGGGCCCAACGTTTTCCAATGGTATGCGGTCGAGGCCCATGCAGTGCAATTGACGATTTGGTTGTTCAGCATGTGCCCAGATGCGCCGCACAATTCCTTCAACCTTCCATGCCAACACACGATCTGGGCGCGACTTGTGTCGTTCTGCCTCTCTGTCTTTTCTGTTCCTCCCCATCCTCCACATCCGAAGCCTCTTCGTCTCCTCCCCAGGCCGAGAAGGACAATGCTATTTCCCAGCTTCGCGCGGCCCATCAAGGACACGCTAGCGTTCATCCTCCTCATCCTTTTCCTCTTTTTCCTCCTCCTCTCTTCCCCTTCTTCCCCGTGATATTGCTCCTGGTCCTCTCTTTTCGATCCCCAGGCCCGCACGCAGTGTTCCACAGTCGTTTTGCTCGCGCGGTGTCCATCTCAAGAGCGCTCTCGCGCTGTTTCCGCACGTCACGTGTACATCGCATGTCTGGCCAGTCCGCGGCGACGCGTCGAGGTGAGCACGCGTGCCTCGAATTGCCAAGTCGCAGCAGCGGTAAGCTCGGGTCTCCGGAATGCATGGTGGCATTGTCTGTCTTTCCTGCGCCTCGGCAGTCGCTACCTGGCGCCAGTGCAGGCCACAGGGGGCCACTGCGGCCACTGGAGGCCACGGGGGGGCCACTGGAGGAGTCACTGGAGGCCGCTCGAGGCCCGCGGGGGGCCACGGGAGGAGCCACGGGAGGAGCCACTCTGGAGGAGCCACTTCGGCCACTCAGGCGATCACGAGAGGCTCCCAGGAGCGTCCTGTGAAGTGGCATTCACCGTCCATCCTCAGGTCCAGTGTCCGGTCAGGCATGCAGTCGAGACGCTGATGCGAGAACCACTTCGGAGTCATGAGGGGCTCTGGTTGTCGGGCCGCTCCTCAGGACGGGGTCGGAGAACCTGTGCGTAGCCGGGGCTCGCTTTAGGTCGGGCATGTCCCCCTACGGGCGGATTTGGGGCGAAACGTTAAAGATATTCCAGACATGCCCCAACATGATCAAACTATGCTCTCGTCCCCAGAGTATGGGTATGACTATTTTTGGATATTCCTCCCGTAGAGGGGCGCGTCCGACTTAAGGCTCGCTTTGGCCAGAACAGCCTCAGACGTGTCTTACGCATTAAGATTGGCCCTTCGCCAGAGCGACCTCTGGTGTGGGCCCAGTGAGGCTCGCGATTGCCGTGTGCGATGCAACAGCGGCTGCTCGTGCGCGAGCGTTTGGCCTCCCCGCGCCCCTCTCAAGCTGCGCGGCAGAGGTCACTCCTGCCCAGGGTCGCTCTTGCGCGTAGCCGAATTCAGCGCTCATCATGGTAGCACGATGGCCGCGTCTCGTCCTCTCTCCCGGCCAGCAAGCCCGCAGGAGAGATCAGCCGCACTCTGCAGGAGTGCAGCGAGGCCGCAGGGGGGGGGGGAGGGCGAGAGAGGCCACCCAAGGTGGGCCTGGCCATGGGCGGTGGACCTGTATAGGTGTGATCTCTCATCGCCACAGGGTGAGGGGCGCGAACTTGCAAGTTGTCCACGTTGCCTCTCCCGCTGTCCCTCCCATCTTGTGTTTGTGGGAGCATTGGGGGAACGCTGGCCCAGACAATTCGATTGAGGAATTCTCCGCTGGTTCTCACGACATTGGCGTTCGCAGTCTACCAGTGCAGACCCTCGTCGCTTTCGCTAATCGGCATGTGCCTTGCTATATACACTGGTTTGTTGGACGAAGGTTAGCTGTTCCGCCTGGGTGCAGTCATAATGCGATACCGCGCTCAACTGTGTTACACCTGGCAGCTTTCGCTAAAGTGTTGTTTGATAATTGGAGGTCTGCCAATCTTACACCTGGTATGCATTCCAGGGGGGATGCCTTCCCCCCCGCCTGCATTCTGGCTTGGGTTGCCCCCCCCTCATTTTCACTTCCTGGTGGATGGGATGGGTGGGCGGGAGGATGAGAAGGAGGAGGAGGAGGAGGAGGAGAACGAGGAAATTATTTGGGGGGTCTCCCGGGGCCTGAGGTTGCCACCTTCTTCTGCTCCTCCTCCCCTTCCTCCTCCTCTTCATCATCATCATCATCATCATCATCATCATCATCATCATCATCATCATCATCACCATCATCATCATCATCATCATCATCATCATCAGCTTCATCTTCATCTTCATCTTCATCTTCATCTTCATCTTAATCTTCTTCATCCTCCTCCTCCTCCTCATCATCATCAGCATCCGTAGCCGTTTTGGCTCAAGATGATGCGATCAGGGCAGATGTCTGGTCCCATGTTGCTGGCTCTAGCCGTCGCGTCACTTCTTGGGTCAGATTCCAAATCGGCCAAGCTTTCAGCGAGGCCTTTGCGGCCACAGTTCCTTCATTGCCATATTCTTTCCAACTGCCGACCTCCAGCGCCCACCAGCTCAGCATTCCGACCTCCAGCTTCTAGCATCCGGCTCTCCGTTTCCACCTCCGCCTACCGACCTCCAGCGCCCATTATCTCAGCATTCCGACCTCCAGCTTTTAGCATGCGACTCTCCGTCTCCGCCTCCATTGATCGATCTCCAGCGCCCACTATCTCAGCATTCCGACCTCAATCTTTTAGCATCCGAATCTCCACTTCCAGCTCCACCTATCGACCTCCAGAGCCCACCAGCTCATCACTCCGACGCTAACCTCTAGCATCCACCTCTCCACTTCCAGCTCCACCTATCGACCTCCAGCGTCCACCAGCTCAGCACTCCGACTTCCAATCTCCAGCATCCGACTCCCCGTTTCCACCTAGGCCCAGCAGTTGGAACGCGAGCTCTCCAAGGAAAAAGCCCACCCCTGTCCAGCTCAGCGAACTGGAGCGCAATCAGAAGAACCAGCGGAGTACCACCGAGGCGCTGGGGCCGAATATCGAGACCGCCACGCAGGCGATCGAGAGCATCCAGGCAGAGAAGCGCGAGCTGGAGGGCAAACGCGAGCAGAGCATGGCCACGGAGAAGGAGCTGCAGGCCCTCATCGACAACCTCCGGGCCAAGCACAAGCGCGAGCGTGAAGGAGTTTCGCGCGAAGGGTGGCTCAGCGCAGGCTCCGGGCCCGCCGCTCCCCCATCCCCGGCAGCCGCACTCAGCGAGGGCGAGCGCGCCGCCGCCTTTCTGTCGGCGCTCGACCAAGCCTCAGGCATGCTCAACAGGGGGTACGCACAGCAATGGGAGTAGCAAGTCTCAGAGCTTCGGCGCCCGGCTCATCGAGTCGCCTCTGCAGGGGCAGCAGCGGAATGCGACGGCGGCGACGAGCAGGAGCACGAGGAAGAAGATGTCAGCAACATCCCGGACAGCATGGAGGATGAGGCCGTCGAAGAGGCCAGCGCGGCGGCAGCAGGCGCAGGCAGCGGCGAAGAGGGCGCGCGAGCTCGGCCCGATGACCCCGCGGCCCAGGCAGCCGCGATGCGCAAGCTAGCTCTCGGCGGAAGGGATTGGGGCCCCTTCGCCGCCCTCCTCGGCGAGCAGCAGGGACCTCAGCAGTGCGCCGTGGCGCAGGCGCACATCGGGGGCGCGTTTTGTTCCCAGGGGCACCACCTTCACGGGTGCCGCGCCGTGGAGCAGGAGCAGTGGCGCGGGCAGGCTGGCTGGAGCGCAGCGTTGGCCCTTGGCGCCGTCGCGGAGGGGGCTTCTCAGCATCGCGCGGTCAGCGGCGGCGCAGGCGTCGCAGTCCGCCCGACTCGGGGGATGCGCGGCCCTGGGGGGCACGGCGACAAGCAGAGCTACCACGTCTCCGACGGCAGAGCGACCGCGGCACGCGTCAACGGTGCGGAGCCAGGCGGTTTCTTGCTCGGCTCTGTCTACTTGGACAACGATGACATCGGCGAGAACAGCAAGGTCGTGCTACAGGACGTCGGGATCCTCTTCAAACGCACGGGCAAGCCCTGGGCTCTTGCGGGCGACTGGAACGTCGAGCCCGACAGGTATCACGAGTGGGCTTGCGACTGGCTGCGCAAGGTGGGCGGCCACGTCGTCGACGCGGGCGGGGGCGCGTGCCAGCCCTCCCCGTCCAAGGCGCCGTCCGAGCTCGACTGGTTCATCGTCGGCGTGGAGATGTTGGATAGGGTCGCGGCCTGCAAGCGTCTCGACATGACGGCCCTGGGGCGCGCCGGCCCGCGCAGGCCACGCATGGCGGCAAAGCTCAGCCTCACCTGCCACGGGGAGTTCGGCCAGTCGCACAGGGTCAAGGGCCCGATGGCGCGCCCCAAGCTGTGGCCTCCCGGGCTGCTGCAGGTGAAGCACTGGGACCACGACTCGGTGCGGGCGCAGATCGTCCAGGGCGAGGACCTACAGGCCATGGCCGACGCTTGCCAGGGACTCTGCGCAGGAGTCGAGGATGAGCTCGTCTGGGCTCACCAGCTCGACCCCGACGAGGCCGATCCCTACCGAGGACGCGGGGGCCCGCTCAGCTTCAGCTACGGCTCGCGCAGGCGCGTGGGAGGCCCATCAAGGGCCCCAGGGCCAGCTACAAGGGCAAGCAGCTCATGCACCCGAGCGACTACTTCACCCAGGCGCGGCTTCTCGCAGGAGACCCGTCCGCGACAGCCACTGCCAAGGTGCGGAAGCTCAGCTCAAGCTGGGCCCTGCCCGTCGGGAAACTGGGCGTCTGCAGGCCAGGGCGCCCGAGCGCTACGCGCGCGCCCTTGGCCGTCGGGCGCGCAGCTGGGTCTCTAACCCCAGCGACCCCAACTACATCGAGGACGAGGCCGAGTGGATGGAGAAGTGCGTGCCCTACATATTCCGCAAGTTGGGTTTGCCGACGCGCGCCACCACGGGCCTGGCCCATGACTTCGAGGGCCGCATGTGCGCAGCGCGCGACGTCTGCTCGTCGGCGCGGCGTCGTGGGGCCCCAGGAAGGACTGAGCTGCGGCCCGCGCCGCGCCCGACGATGGCTGGGGCGCCATCGAGGTCGGCGCGCAAGGAGCGCGGCGGACATTCGAGCGCTCGGGCCGGGGCTGGCCCCCCCGCGTCCACGCTCCCGACCCAGCCCAGGACCGCGAGGAGTGGATGGAGTTGCGCACGCACTACGCGCTCGCGCGCCTCAGCCAGCACGAGATCGATGGGGCGGCGCAGCACGAGCAATGCGAGGGCGCCGAGAGCCCAGAGTCGGGTAGTGGGTTGGGGGCCGCATCTGCGGAGGTGGTCAGCGCGGTCCCAACCCAGGCCCCTGTCAGCTCCTTCGCAGCGCTCGCAGCGGCTGGCGCGGGAGGCTCAGCACTTGCGATCAACGACGCAGCACCGTGCGCGGCCACATCAGTTGCAGCTTCTCTGGGGGCTGGAGTAGGAGCCGCATCCGCGGAGCATATCAGCGAGATCACAATAAAAGCCCTCGCAGGCAGTTGAGCACCTGGACGGCGGCGAGGGCGGCGGCAGCGCAAGTGGGCCCAGCACGGCGAGGCCCTTCGCCGAGCGCGCAGCTCGCCCGCAAGGCACGCGCCGCGGAGGAGCCCAGCAACCCCGACGCGCGGGTCGTCGCCGAGGACGAGCAGTACGGCTACATTCAGGCCGTCAGGCTCTTCATGCGGGAACACGGCGGCCTGCCGACGGACTCCAGCGACGACGGCGACGACGGCAGCAACGGCAGCGGGGGCGCAAGCGGCAGCAGAGGCCGCCCAGGCGCTGCAGCGCCGCGGCCCCCTTCCACCGCGGGCCTGCCCCTGGGCGCGCAGCGGGGGGCGCGTGTCGCGCTGGCTGGGGGCTGCCCCGAGCTCCTGCCTCTGGAAGAGTAGGCGGCGCATGCCAAGGACGAGGCTGAAGCCGAGGGGGCGGCCTTCGCAGCCGTCCGCGGCCAGGCCTTCAAGGAGTGATTCGCAACTCCCTCATCGCGGGCGCTGGGGGTCTGCGCGCCTATCGGCGAGGCCCTCGAGGTTGGGCACCTGATGATGAGTTCCATGGCGCCCCTGCTCATGGCCGCGTCAAGGTCGCGGCGGCGCAGTGGTCCTCAGAGGTCTGGAGGGCCCGTCAGGGCAGCGACCGCTCCCATCCTCGCCGCTCTCCGAGCGAAGACGAGGCGCTCCCCGACCCGCGGCCGACTGCGTCCGCAGGGCCGCCAATGCCTTCAGCCGCAGCACGGGGGTCGGCAGTGACCGACTCAGATCCCAGGAAGGCCGCCGACCTCAGCGACCAGCTCCTCGAGGCCGTCATCGACTTCGGCATGAAGTGCGAGGGGTTGGGAGGATGGCCCGGCGCCATCACCGACTAGTTGGTGGTCATGCTTACTAAGCCCCAGGGCGGCGTTCGGCCCATTGGGCTGCTGGGATGGCTTCCGCGCCTCTGGGGTCGCGCCCGTCGGCCCGATGCGAGGCGATGGGGTTCCCAGATCGACCCAGGCGTCGCGGGCTCCTTTCGGGGCGGCCGGGGGCGCGCGGCCGAGGAAGCCGTCTGGTGGCAGGTCC